CTATTGATTAGTTAATATGATATAGATAGCTAGAATGGAATAAGGAGTTCAGGTTTACTTATTAATTATTAGCTGCCATGGGACAGCTTGCTGTATTTCATCTCTCCTTTTAATACTACTGTTTGGATTAGCCCATATATGTAGGGCTTCGGCTATTAGTCTTTCTTTGTAAGAATTAAAGCCTTTCTGAATTATTCTTGCGCCATTAAAATCAATTGTATGATCCGATTCTATCGAGTGTAATGCTATCGCTGATTTGTTCTCAAGTTTTCTTACATCATCTGAGGATTTAGGAATGTGCCTTAAGCACAGTTTGTGTTGCTTCACCCTCACACTCAGTTGCCTTGATGTTTCACCTGCATAAGTTGCATTACAGTCATTACATTTGATTTCATAAACACAATTCTGTCGTTCTTCCTTGTGAATTGCATCTTTGATTCTTACTAGTTTTGATCTTAGAGTATTGTTTGTTCGAAAGAATACTCTTATATTTTGAAGAGTTAGAATTCTTCTGATCTCTTCTGAAATACCTTTACGATATGGGATCACCACTGTGTTAATCCATTCTTTTTGCTTAATTCTTTTTTTAATAATATCATTTTGTTTTTCATTCTCAATTATTCTTTTAATAAAATCCTTCGGATAATTATTCATTATTAGAGTGGATAAAATTAAATTCATTTCCATTTTTATATCATTTGGTTCAGTGACAAGTTTTTTGACTCTAGTGATCAGATTTTTGGCTACTTTCACTTTGGTAGAGTGTGGATGCGCAGACTTAAAGTCTAGAAATTTCCCTGAATATGTCGGCTTTCGAAAAATACTAATTTTTAAACAATCATTGCACTTCCTTTCAACTAAGCAGTCTAGAAACGGTAATTTGCGTTCAGGAGATTCCAGCTCTTTAGTGAACTAGATTTTGTCATAAATGTTGTTGACACGTTGAAACAGTTCGTCTAAACCATATCTTCGGTGAAATGGAACACACTGAGATAGCACTTGTTTTTCCAGTGAATGCATGAATAAGTTAGCAACAATTAGAGAAACCGATGATCCCATAGCTACACCTTCTGTTCGTCTGTACAAATCTCCTCGAAAACTGAAAACAGTTGAATGTAAACATAGATCCAACGCTCTAATAATGTCTGAGGGATCTAGAGGACAACATTGTTTAGGTTCAGTATCAGAATCTACGAGGTTATATACATTATCTAAAGCTTTATTAACAGTAACATTAGTGAACAATGAGTAAACATCAAAACTTACCATTATTTCATCCTCTTCTATGCGGATATTACTGACAATGTTTCTGAAATCATTAGAACTTTTTATTCCATATTTTATTACGCTTTCATATGGTTTAAGAATTTTGGCCAGGTATCTAGAAAGATTATAGGTTGATGAATTTATGTAATCAACCACAGGTCTTAGTGGGATATCTGTTTTATGTATTTTCGGTAGGCCATAAAATCTACAAGGGTTATTGCTTCTTGGATATAAAGAGAACCATAAAGCTGGTCCTAGTTTAAATTTTAACTTCTGTAGCATTTTGGCCGTCTCAGCTATCAATTTATTTAAAGTGGCTCTACATTTGTTCTTCATGATTTTTTCATATGGTCCATTGTGGAGATGTTCACAGACTTTTTTCATAGTCAGAATTATTTATAACAACAGTGGTATTTCCCTTGTCTGCTCTCATAATAACAATTTTTCTGTCTTTACGTAACTGTTTTAGGGCATACATTTCCTCTTTAGAAATGTTAGGCGTATTTGGTTTTTGATTCAAAAATGCCACTGAGATTTTAAACCTCATTGAATTCGCTTGATCATCCGGAACATTGTTTAAGGCAGGCTCTATCAACGGAATAATTTCAGAGGTCGAAATTTGTGTTTTGTTCATATTGAAATTGAGACCTTTCTTATGTAGTGAAAGTTTGTGTTGATTTAAATGTCTGTCAGATAGATTTATCACTATTTTGTTTATATCGAGTTCCTTGGATTTATTTCTAATCTCGTCATTGTTAGATTTCGACGAATGTTTAAACTCTTGTTCAAATTTTCTTATTTGACGTCTTTTCGTAATTTGATCATAAAAGTTATCTCTATGTTTGAAAAATTCACTAATATTTGGTTTAAATTCTGTTGGTATAATTATTGATAAAGTGTTTTCAATCTTCGCTGTTTAAACCATCATGTTTATCCAAAAACGTTGAGAGTCAAGACTCCAGACAATTCTATACGTTCACAAAAAGTAGCTGTTACAGATACAAGAGTATTCTTTAGAGAACGTATACATAAATCTACTACAAACTTGAGATCTGTACGTTCACCTATAACGAACATTGACAGTACTTTATCAATAATTATACGCTTTTCGTTTCACACCACATGTCTCTTACACACTAATGTAAATACCTACTTTAAACATTGTTAACGTTGATTGGATGACTTATTCAGTATACAGTAAACCAGAGAACCATGTACCCATTTATATTCGATAATTTTGTTGTTTGATTATACTTTCCTTGAAAAAGCTTGGACCAAATTGCCAGGCGAAACGTTGGATTTACTTCAAATTCTTTTGCTGAGATTTTACAAATACATTCCTCCTTTTTAATACTTCTACTAGTTTCGTTTCCTTTTCAAGTATTTTCCGTAGTAAGTGAAACCGGAAGGTGACTGTCCTCCACACATCTCCAACACACCTGATGAAACAGATTCATAATCAACAAAAAACAGCCAAATTCCAAAGTAAATAGAAATTAAAGATCGTTGATAACATACTACTAAGTAAGGATCACATATCTTGTTGGGGTATTCAGGAAAATATCCCAAAAATTATCCTGTTAAGCCTAATGCTATCCTTGGACATGAAATGGTGTCATCTTATTGGTCAATATTTATTTAACGTGTCATTTTCCTGTTGGCCAATATTGTACAATGTTATTTTCTATTTTATGGTACGATGTGGTCTGCTTGATTGATATATAAACAGAGTATGTTTGAAATATAACGATTCATAACTTAGAGGCTGTGACTTGCGTTCTGGACTCAACTGGCTAGGCTAGACAGGGAAGCGGGACCAATCAGAACCCTAGGCTGTTCTACGTGTTTGCGCGTCTTTGGTCCGATCAATAATTCGCTACCCTCTAATCTGATGCCATCACATCATAGCATATCTATCATATGAAAACTAAGAGCAAACTGGAGCATGATACTTTGCCTAAAATTAATTTCCCTAACCGAAATCCACCCAAAATGAAATTCAATAGGAATTTTGAAAAATTGTAGTGTTCATCCTGATGGATTGATTTTAGAGTATTGATGACAGATTTCTCCAAAAGTTTTACATCACCTAGAGGACCATTAAGTGTTTAATAGGATTAAGAATTGTACGTTATGGGCTAGTACAGAACTTGAACATAACATCTTCCTAGCGACCCGTGATTACTGAGTATTGTTTTGGTAATATCACTTTCTTACAGAATCTTATGATGTATACTTGTATATAGCGGTACTCCATTGAAGTAACAGGGAAGCTTCTGAATATTGGTGATAATTTTATACTCTTTCAGATTTTTGGAACGTAAACTAAGGCTCCTTTATCTGATGACGAATTCCATAAAATTAATTGCATTACGAATACAAATTGACCTTCTGGAACAAATAAATTAGCTCGAAAAGTTATGAATTTTCTAGGAAAATCAATTGTAAAACATAAGTCTATCCAGCTACTAAACTGCCCTTCAATTATAACGAAAAACTACTTATCATGTAAGATTGACAGTTTACAAATTTATTTTGATAATTTTGGCTGCGTTAAGAAACTTAAACACAGATAAGTATATACTACTCTTACCCATTAACTTAAATTCACTTGCTTGTTCAATCTTCACCTATGTGAATTTAGCTCTATGATTTTGAGCATTAGAATTTTCACACTATGACCGGATATCAATTTAGAATAATCAACCAGGGTAACTGGTTAGTCATCAAGTACTACGAAGTTGCTTTCTTAAGAGAGTGGTAGAATCAATGAGAAAAACGATCACTAGCACTTCGTCCTAAAATCATGTCAATGAGTGATAATCAATATACTAGTCTTTTAATATAAGGTCAGACACAGAAACACACTGACCACAGTTTTCATACTTACAAATAAAGAAAGCAACAAAGGTTGTCATTCTTGGGTATTTCTGGAAGGCAAGTGCCGAATAACATGGCTACTCTCAAAAGTCTGAAAAACAAAACAAATAATACGAAATTCAACGCAATACAACAGTAACCTAAGTCTTTGTTGACATCGATTTCTGTATTTCTTTTGAGTGTCATTGGCTAGTCCGTTTTAGATCATTACAACCTTCAACAAATATTCTGTTTTTTTTCAGACACGAAATGTCTAACATAAACAAAAGCTGTTATGTTAATTTAACCTGAATAAAAGCTTTGGTTCAAATTATTTTTTCTATTTTAATACTGAGTTTTAAGGTCTGTAAATAATCATGCACATTTTGAAGGAACACATGAGGTCAATGGAGTGTGTATAAATTTATAAATGTGGTTGCTAGCCAGATCAGTGTATACAAATACGATAGTTTCAGTACATTTCATCACATAATAACATCAAGTAAACACTATAAAAGACAATATAACAGTGTGAACTTTAAGGTTAGCCTAGTTAGGAATATTTATTATAATTACTTATTTCTACTACCAAATGTATACTAATTATCATCACAGCCTTCGAACAGTCACACACATTGAACAGAGGAAAGTTTAACCAATGACGCAGAAAAATACAAACATGATACAAAATGCATATTAAAAAAAAAAGAAGAAAGGACCGTTTTCATTGAATTAAATGTCACAAAAACGATACAATAAAACTATTTAAAAATAAAAAAGTTATCACCATTACAAAACAGAGCTAATAATACAAAATAAATAATTAAATTTAATTGGAATGTTGATCAAATATACAAAACCACCACCACAACAGAAAGTGAATCGTAATATCAGAGGTAATAGTAATAGTTTCTTGTAAAACAATGATATGCAAAATTGGTTTGAGCAGTAGAATGTCTTTTTTCTTTTAAATGAAAGGCATATGTAGGGAAATTACATTTTAAAAAAAGTTAACTGATAATTTAATAAAGGGAATGAACAGAAAAAAAAACTAACTTAAATGTATACATGTTTGCTGAGAGAGGTTAAAATTTGCATTTGAAAATTAATCAAAACAACAGAAAAGTGAGCAGAGAAAAAAGTTTGCAAGAAGTAAATAATTTTTGAGTACTTTGCACAATTTACTTACGAACATATCGCATACTTTTATCTTGAAGTAAATGTATACACAAATTAAGCAAGTCATTATCTTTGAAGGAAACAGAAATGATTTTAAAATCCAGAAACATCAACCACACTTATATCAGCTTGTTCTTCTTTGGTTTTACACTCCTCCTATGGTTGGGAAATTTTTTTAAAAAAGAAATAAAGCGAATGAATTGAACATTCAATGAGATTTAATATTATTTGATTGAATATAGTTACCAATGAATTATGAACTTATATTTTTCCCGTAGTCTTACACTACACAAGGATAGTAATCAGCAATTTGATTTTACAAAAATTCAGTGTCACCTGAGTTTTAAATCACCAGTCTAGCATTCTAACGTCAAGCTATTTGAGGGAAAAGTGACAGTTGTAGGGTTGGATTAAAATCTTATAGGATGAAGAGTGAAATGTTTGAAAGATTTAACTTTCGATGATTGAGTTAGGAACGCGAATCTTACCCTGCATATAATGGTATAAGTAGCCGGGTAGCACCATCACATATAGACATGTACTACTTAGATGAGCTACAGAAATCAAAGAATGGTATTACTCCTCGAATTTCAATAACCAATCGGCAATCTATTGATCAAGATTATGCAATATAATATGACGTATGAGCGTGCACAGCATTTACAGTGAGTAAACAGTAATAAACAATGAGAAACCAAATACACAGTGAACAAAAAATATACCAACACCGTTTACATGGACAAACAAAGGACAAAAAACATAACATAGATTGTAATTTAAATACACAATGAACCAGCCATATATATGTAGGTGCTACAAAACTTGCGATAAAGGCACGTATAAAAGCAAAAACTAAATAGTAATTTTACAATGTAGACAGACAGTGTATAACTATACCCTTTGAAACGTGCTGAATTATGAAGCGACTAGTCTCTAAAATTATATTAATCGTCTCACAGGAAAGCAATAATAAGAGACTTATAAGGGCATGTTCTATGTATGAAGACAAGATAGAACGATTACAATCATATATTAGTATGTAATACTTTTTTAAACAACATACTAATTCTTGTAAGTTGAGCCAAATTATCATAAGTGGACAACAGAACAATGAAATCCATAAAAAATGAGATTATCAATACTTATAATAAAAATAAACAGCTAAGTTGGTTTAAAATAATCGGATATACGATTTTGAGTACGATATCAATATTTTTGTCATTAAGCCTAGAATGTAGACGAAACAGATAAAAAACGAGTTGTTTGTAACAAGTTAAGATAAACACCAGTGACTTCAAAAAGTCAAATAAATGGATATATACAATGTAGGACCGGCTACAAACATATATTGGTTGTTGTTGCACCCAATATCACCGTATCGAAACGAATATCAAACGACTAAAATCAATAATACCACGTAATAATGGCATTCAGGAGTTAAAAGGAGATAAAAAGAGAAATTCAACTAATACACTCTGGGGTCAGACTCAAATCATATTACACTGATAAGTCCATTTTATACTAATCAGTCCTTATGGATGAACCGAGAACACATTAGAAGATTTCCAAATGCAATCTCTTTTCACCAACAGATCTTTTATTACTCGAGTTTGTCAGAATATATAGTTTCCAATTAATTCATGTTCTGATTTGACAAAAGTAGAGTGAAGTTAATGGGATACTACACAGAGGAAAACATATCAGCTGGTGAACTACAAATAGTGCTTTGGTCGGGTTCGATAGTGATGTCAAGAACGAAAGATAGAGCGCATGTACTGGCCACCTTTTTTCGTATCCGTGAGTTCAGCTAGTTCTAGAGAGCAAATCAGATTGGTAGATGTTCTAGTAATTTACTTTTCCTTGTTCGTGAACATCTTCAAACGTAGCTAAAAGGCATAGAAAGTTTTATCTAGGCCTACCTGGTTCAGACGAAATATGATGCTAACATTAGTCAGTCATTTTTAAAAATTTACAATGTTTGAGATGGTGGAGAAGATTTGTAGCTCAGGTGGATGATTTTGGTGGAGTTTTGTTCTCTGAGCTGGATGGTTTGGTCGTGGAGCTTTCATCGTTCTTGTGAACGACATCATCAGCACAAACTTCTATCTGAAGTTTGTGCTGATGATGTCGTTCACAAGAACGATGAAAGCTCCACGACCAAACCATCCAGCTCAGAGAACAAAACTCCACCAAAATTTACAATGTTAAAAGTAATTCTTTTAAATTCCCCAGGCTCCGCATTTTCTAAATCCCAAAAGCGGCTGCAATACGAATGTAAAAACTGAGATTTGGTTCCAAAATAAATAGGTCCACTGCAACATGTCTACTTTGACCAAACTAATAATCTTCAAACAATAAAACGAATAAATAAACCTTATGTGAATATCGCCATCCCTTCTACACTTTTTAAAATTCAAATTCATCTGATTCAATCACATTATTATGTTAGAACAGCTTAGTACTCACTCCATATTTATTTTTCTCGTAATTAATTAGTAGATTACTTAATGTATATTAGAATGTCTGGTTTTATTGTTATCTATATTGTTTTTCCTCACCTTATATATGGTGATTTTTGAAGTTTCATTTGACAAAAACCAGATTCACATATAAATTGCATGTTACTTACTTCGGCAGTTACAAACAATCTTAAATTCATGAAGATTATTACCGACAATTTATCGTTATATATTACTTTAGATATATAGTAATAGCACCTAATAAGAGCTTGTTAAGAGGATTACTCTTCGTTCCATAAAAATGAACTTATTTAAAATGAGTATAGCTGATCTCAAATAGCTTTATCTTGGGTTGTGAGTGGCAGTCTGTAGATTCGATTTGTACACTCCGAATTTTAGTTTTTGGATTGGGAAATCGTGGAATAAGCTAAGATGCGTTACTTTTAAGGCTCAACTTTTCTAACACATCCTTTTATTATGGAAAGGCGGGATATCTAGAGGAGAGGCATATGCAAATACGAGGAAAATTCAACCCAGAGCTCATGTAGGACGATTTATTAAAAGATTATGTCGTTATTTTTCTAAGTCTTTGTGGATTGGGAAAGAAGTTAAACACTTATTAAACGACGGACTACATAACCACATTTGATGACTTTAATGTCGTACCAAACAGGATAAGAAAAACAGTGGAATACAAATTGAAACCATAAAAACTACTAAACTAAATATACACAGAAGTAGTTTTTAGATAAAATGTGCGTCTACATGCAGATAAATGTTCCATTTTCTCATGCAGTAAACAAAGAATAAAATACCTTGTTCTTCGAAAAATCCTTGAGGTGCCTCTTCCTTTAAATAATATTAAGATAAATATGTATTGATAATAAGGGTAATAAAACAAGTACAGCAAAATGAGGAATACAGTATGCAAATATGAGATTGAAACTTAACTTACCTCCTGAATTAGATCTTGCATGTCAATGTCGTTTAAAGCGCTTTCTTTGCCAGTCTCCTGAACTTCTCCTCCTAACATAAACTCATCTAATACGTAGTATGCCTTTTCAAAATGGAATATAATGTCGAGTTCACAAACCTAATCGAAAATATAAGTCAGATATTAATTACCGCATAAAGAAAAAAATGGTGATCTCTTAAATTTGATTGACATTTTAAATACGTTAAGTTGGTATTCAAAAGCGCGCACTCAATCTTTGAAGCAGTTGGTTTGAGGTTAGAAACTTGCCTTATCTACTTTGCTTTGGGTAGCTCACAGAGTGTGATCCTAGGTTGAGTACGAAGAATGTAATTGACTATTGAGTTATGTTAACCTGCACTCAAATGTTCAGAATTATCGCATAGTGTTTTACTATTTACGAAATATTTTTCGACTAGGCCAAGAGATGGAAAGATACTAGGGTGCAGCAAGTTTTGGAAACAGAAAAATAATAATTACAGTGGAAATACAAATTACTTTTAACTGTTTCACTTGGGATCAGTAAGAGAAAATCATAGCAGCGAATCATAAATGATTAAAGGCCAGGGAGAGACAAATGAAAGTGAGAGAGAACGGCAGCGTATGCAATAGTCCAAGTGATCTTCTGGAGCTAGTTGTGTAGAGTGTACAATTTATCACTCAGGCCATCAAATCCTGGAACCCCATCTTGTTTATCAGATCGCTGAACAAACCCTTATGACGTTGTGTTCCATGAGAACGTATCTACCTGTAGCACACTAGTTTCTTATATTGTGAAGAATTCGTGTTTTTCTATGGTTTTTAGTATCAAGTGTGGTTGTGGCAGTAGGCTAAAACATATAAAGCATCACACTCTAACATCTTGGATTATTGCATTTCCAATCTACGGATCAAAATGTACCTTAAAAGCAATGGAAGCAATTTTTGAAACGAATTTAAACCAACTGTAAACAAACAAGTAAGAAAGTACGACAGTACTGAAGATCCCCATCTTAAATTTTAGTGAAAAGGACGAATAAAAAAAGTGAAATTGATATTCAACTAATTTTTCATCATAGCTCTCTCTCTCTGTATATATATATATATATATATATATATATATATCATTTAGAGTAAAATAATACTGATCGAGTGGTTGCGTTACGTAATTATGCAATGTAGCAACTGTATGATTTTTCGGACGATTGCTTTTACCATAATTTTTTGTTCCGACTACTCAGTGGTATTTGATAATCAAGGTGGCATTATACATTTATTGAGTAATACAACTACTCGATGGGTACTATCTCATTGCCGCGAACTACATATATATGGAATCGTGGGGAAAAACTAATTGAAGAGAAATTTTTCTCGTTCTATAGGCTTTTTCAACAAAATGTACAAGAATTAAAGTCTGAAAAGGTTGATTATGGTCATGTATACATAGCACCTAACTGCGTAGCACTCTATTGAAGCTTAAGATCGATCAAAAACTACAATAAAGCTACAGCCTAACTGCTGTCACCCTTCAACAACATGTATACGTGTTTTTATGCGACCCGCCGCTTCCGGTGCAGTGCTGATACACTACAGCTGCCCAAACCGAATCAAGTAGGGCGGGTTTCGGAAATGCAATCTATTGTCAAAAAGAAGTGGAGAAATACCAAGACCAACCGTTTTCAAATGAGTCTAATAACTAAAAGACCTAAATTCCTCCTGGTAAGGCACTAGATTTACTACAAAACTTAACGTTCCATTCAAATCGGTTTTAGTTTGACCTATCCAGACACAAACAGTTGTTAATTTCATTTAAGAGGATAATGATCATTATGAGACTTCTTTGAGAAAGAAAATATAATTGTAATGGGTTCCAACAAGCATAAAAATAGAGTCGTTTGAAACCTCTTGATTTTTATTTATACAACTAGGATATGGATAACCTGCCTTCGCAATGTTATGAAAATATACTGAAGTAACATGAAAACTCTAGAGGTTCAACTTACGCTACCAAAATACTTATCTAAAAGTTCCACATATCTGTGGATTATTTCCAAAGTCAGTAGCTCATTGTCCTGGGGTTCAACTGCAGCACAGAAGTATAGACTAGCATAACTAAAAACGTTAGTTATAAAACCAGAATGGACGTGCCGACGATAAACAACTTTTAAGTCCTTCCATTCAATAAATGAACACATTTTTGGCTTTCGTGAAAGCACAATTGTAGTGAGATCGCGTAAAATTTTTTTCTTTTCTTTTTCAGAATAGGAAATATACCACTTTTGGAGCCTTAATTTTCCCTGGCGGCTAAACAAGATCATAAATTGCATCTAAAAATTAACAATTGAGAGTGCTTTCAGAATTACCATCTTAGCAAGAACAGGTTTTAACAGATGAGTTGGAAATACGTCAGAATGGAAATAACCGCCAGTTACACGCCCAAAGGCGACCCTGAGATTCTGTCGGTTTCAAATTGTTTTGTAGAACCGAAGAAATTTTCTCCTTTACTGTTAGTGATGATTGCATTAAAATATCCACATAGGGCAGAAGTTATGGGTACAAGATGGAAAACTGAATCATCAACTCAATCAAAGACTGATATCAGGGAATGGAAATTCATCAAACAGTCCTTGAGGCTCAAAAACATACTGACTCAGCATGTGACGAGACTAGCCAAGAAGGACGGTGATTCTAGACCCCGGGTAATGAGGATAACTGCCCAATCCTCCCACATGGCGGCTGCAACTCTGGAGGCCTTTCGTGCCAATAGACGTCGGTTGCAAGCTGGAATCCACATGCACCCAGATAGGCCATATGAAGCTAGGACCAAGCACAAAAGCAAGTCGGAGCTGACCATTCCACTTGTGGACTGTCTTGTTCATAAAAAAACGTGTAAAGATCAGCGCCTACCAACTCGACAAACCTTATATAGGTAGACTACCTGTTCAGTCACGTAAGGCTCAAACAGGCAAACAGGAAGAAACTCACGCGTTTCAAATCAAAAGCACAAACTGCTTATACATGAACGCCGCGAGTCTACCAAACAAAATGGATGAGCTACGTGAACTTAGCAATACTCATAAGGCTCATTTAATAGGAATAACTGAAACTTGGACAACTCAGTTCTCGGACCAGGAGTTAGCAGTACCTGGGATGTCTTTGTTTCGCAACGACAGAAAATCAGGAATTGGGGGTGGAGTAGCCATGTACACACGTTCTTGCTTGGAGGTACATCAAGTTCATAACCTCGAGTTTAACAATCTTGAGGAATCCATACAGTGCTCTGTAAGATTGTCTGCTACTTCGAGGTGTCTAGTCGGACTCATATATAGGAAGCCCACCGCCGACATCGAGTACGACAGTCGTATGCTGGAAGGACTATCCCGCTCTACTCGTCTCGGTTTCACACACATCCTGATTCTAGGGGACTTTAATCTCCCTAGAGTCAACTTCGCGGAACACACGTATACTGGAGGCGACAACTCAACTGAAGCTCGGTTCATCAACCTCATCGATGACTTAGGCTTATATGAAAATGTGAGGTCGGCAACTCGTTGGAGAAACAGTCAGGCACCATCGCGCTTAGACTGTGTATTCACAAACGAAGAATTCCTAGTTGACAACCTCTCAATCCTGGCTCCCCTGGGAAAAGCGATCATGCCGTCATAGCCTTCAGTTTTGTCATCAAAACTAAGCTAAGATACCCCACCAATAACTTGTGTTGGAATTTTAAGCGGTTAAATGTGGCAGCTCCACACGACTATCTACAACAGGTGGTTTGAGATGTTCACCCCCAACTCGACGTAGACGGTCACTGGGACTTCTTACTGCACACGCTCTTATGTGCTACAAACCATTCAGTTCCTCAAACGGTTCCCAAAAGCTGCAAGCCACCTTCAATAATCAAGAACTGTACCCTTCGCCTGTTAAGCTGCGAAAGGCACTGTTGGGCGGAATACAAACGAATTGACAACGACGGAGCATACAGGCAATACAAACATAAAAGTAACATATGCAGTACCAGACAAAGCTTATGGACAAATTTGCCTCTCATCCTAAAAGCTTATTCCGTTATGCAGCCTCTCTTCGTCAAGCCGAAACAAGAGTTTCCCAACTGCTAGGTATTAACGGCCCGACCAACAACGATGGCGACGCCGCTAACCTTCTGGCTGAACATTAATCCCAGACATTTCAGCCGACCGACATTAACTTTACTGATGACAGTTTCGTTTCGTTCCGAAGTAAACCTAAGCGCTGACTTGGTGTTTCGGAAACTGCAGCACTTAAAATCAGACACTTCTCCTGGCCCGGAAATTGTCCATTCTGCCATACTGAGGGAAGCAGCCCCAATCTTGGCAACGCCGCTTAGCGTAATGTTCTCACACTCGCTAAGTCGACGAAAACTGCCGGAAAATTGGAGGCTGGCTCACATCACACCAATTTTCAAAGGAGGTCGAAGCAGCGAACCTTCAAGTTACCGACCGGTGGCCCTTCTCTCCATACCCTCAAGAATCATGGAGTCCCTGATATATGATGGTATAAACGACTATTTACTGTCCTTAAATTTCTTCTCACCCCAACATCATGATTTCAGGAAGAGTTACTCTTGTATTACCAACCTGCTGTGGATAGATGGACAAGCAAACTTTATCACAAGGGGAAGGTTGATATCATCTACTTAGATTCCTAAAAAGCTTTTGATAAGGTTAACCATACATGTCTCATCAATAAGCCCAAACGATTGGGTATCAGATCACCTCTAATCGATTGGCTCACTCCATACCTGAAAGATCGACATTTTAAGGTCAGGGTTAACTTCACTTTATCTCAGGCTATGGAATGTCCTAGCGGGGTCCCCCAGGGCTCAGTACTAGGACCTCTTCCTTTCTTGATCTACATAAATGATCTTCCTCAACAGGTAACGTCAGACTTATTACTTTTTGTCGACGACATGAAACTTTGGAGAGAGATACGCAACCAAGACGATATACAGGCACTTCAGGAGGATCTGACTCTACTTCAAAGTTGGGCAGACGATAACGGACTTACCTTTAACACTTCAAAGTGTAACGTGGTCCATCTGCGACATTTCGCAGACTATATTTACGACTTAAGAAACTCCTCTCTAGTAGTATCCCGAGTCTTCAACAGTTTCATTCGTCCCCGTTTAGAGTACGGGAACATAGAATTTCCTTCCTCGCTCCAAAAGGATAAGGACGCTCTGGAGCTCACTCAAAGGCGAGCCACGAATTCAGCTCAGGGAATCAAATTCAAGTCCTATTAAAAGCGCCTCTAATCACTAAACCTTTACCCATTAGTGTATAGGCGTCTTAGAGGTGATTTATTAATGGATTATAGTATTCTTAACACTTCTGGACATCCTCTTAAACAGCTACTTAAGCTTAGTTTGAATAATAACCTAAGGGGTAACACCCAGAAACTGGAAACACAACATAGCAAGACGGAATGTAGACACAACTTCTACTCCTTAAGAGTTGTCAAAAGCTGGAATTCGTTGCCAGCCGAGCTAGTCCAAGCGACTTCTCAGGAGTCCTTCAAGAGGCAACTTGACCTATTCTTAAGGACCAAGGACAGCATCACACTATGATTTACCAGTGCTTCGGGTAACAGGTTCCAAGAATTGATTCAAATGGTTCAAATGGTTGTGGACAAAATAGAAGAAGCTTTCGCTTAACAGGCTTCCGTGTCTAGTAGCAGAGGATCACTAAATCCTCCAGGCAGGAACCTGGGTATGCTAACAATAAAAGAGGAAAAGAAATTGGTAAATCATAGTGTGATGCTGTTCTTTGTCTTTAAGAATAGGTCAAGTTGCCTCTTGAAGGACTCTTGAGAAGTTGCTTGTACTAGCTCGGCGGGCAGCGAATTCCAGCATTTGACAACTCCTAAGGAGCATAAAACCATGTATGACACGGGTGTTTTGTTCGTTCATGACTTTTTACTCACCTCCTGTATTCTCTGAGTTGTTCCAGTTTAGTAGGAAGGAAAAAGATGTATTATGTCATTAATCATTTCTCAGTATTTAATACATCAAAGTTAGATCACCTCTTAACCTGCGATAGGACGAAGTAAAGAGATCTAGATTTTCAAACCGATCTTTGTATGGTAAACTCTGGAGTTCTGAAACTGCACGGGTGGCTGTCCTCTGCACTTTTTCAGGGTATCGGAGTTGCCTTTTAAACAGTGGCTTGCAGCCTGAACGCAGTTCTAAAGTTTAGATCCCACTAAGGTTGTGTACACTGTAGTGAACATAGTAATATCTAACTTCATAAAACACATAGGGCTCTAAGCTCCTTAGCCGTGAACTCACAATAGTAGACCGTAATCTTATGACCATGACTCACTCCAAGATCCTTGTAAAACCAGACAGCGAGTACAGGCATTTCCCCTGTGCTGTACCTATTTACGTCTGTATCCGAAAAGTGCATGTAGACACACTTGGTCGCGTTGATAGGCATCAGTCACTTTTCAGACCAGTTAATCTGAAGTGCACATGCATCTATGTCTCCTGTTACTTTTCATCAGGTATCCACATTATCAGCATTTGAGACTCAAGTATACTTTGGATTTAATTTACATACAGTATAAAAATCAAAGGACGTAAGACAGAGCCCAACGTAGCTCCATTAAATACTGGTTTCCAGGAGGTGCACTTGGGATTTATTTTTGCTTTCTGTCTACGATCTATTAAGAAATCCCAAACCCATTTTAAGAGAGATTCAGCTAATCCTAGATTTTCCAGCTTGGAGTCTACTTTTTGGTGCACTACCAAATTCTTTGATGAAGTTTCTATAGACAGCATCCACCGACTTGCTATTCCCTGGAGCCTCTGTCTATCACTCTCTTGCTATAGGGAGGTTAGTTATACCAGATAACCATTTTCTGAAACCCTGTTGCTCCTGCTTAACAAGTCGTTGGTTTCCACGGATGTAATTATGACCTTTTTGATTATTCTTACCAGTATTTTAAATCTGCAGTTCAACGGAAATTGTCTTGATCCTCTTTAATGAATTGATGTGGCCATTGTATCCTTCCAGTCCGTGGGTAACCTGTAGAATTATGGTCTGTTTTGATATTAGTACTGATATTATAATAATAGACCTATTCCTAAATTTGTAAATTTGTCATGATGTGTCTACCTAATCTATGAGATCTTACGTGGAAGTTCTATCATTGTCTACACTTACTCGTCGTATCCTAAGAATCAGTTTTATAATGCTTTGTGTTTCTAAAGAGCATGTTTAGGCTGGGGACAGAACAATATATTTAATTTGAATGTATGAGATAAGTTACACAAGAACGACCACTCCTAAATGTCCGAGTCATGTCATCCGATTCTATTAAATGTTCCCGCGTTCACCGTTGTTGACCTCTCCGCGTTAAATGTTGAATATCTGTTTTCCCAGTTGTCTCACGTTCCGCTATGAGGATAGTGTGACTAGGACCAATGCCACTACACCGCTCTCCCACCAAAAT